CTCTTGTTGGGCTCCTTGCCGTTGAAGAAGTCGGAAACAAGCTTGACGATACGCGGGATACGAGTCGAACCTCCGACTAGAACAATCTCGTGAACATTGCCTTTGTCGATCTTTGAGTCCCGCAGGACCTTTTCGACAGGCTCCAGCGTGCTGCGGAAGAGATCCTGGCAAAGCTCCTCAAATCTAGCACGGGTGAGAGAGGTGTAGAAGTCGATGCCCTCGAACAAAGAGTCGATCTCGATCGAAGTTTGGGTAGCCGACGAAAGGGTTCGCTTGGCACGCTCACATGCAGTGCGAAGACGACGAAGGGCACGAGGATTGGACGAGAGATCTTTGTTCTTTTATCAGTAAAATGAGAAGCAATATCGCGCGAAGCGCCTACCTTTCTTGTGCTTCCTCTTGAACTCCTGCACAAAGTGATTAACGAGACGATTATCGAAGTCCTCACCACCCAGATGCGTATCACCCGCGGTAGCCTTCACCTCAAAGATACCCTCCTCAATAGTGAGGAGCGACACATCGAAAGTTCCACCTCCCAAGTCGAAGATGAGGACGTTGCGCTCGCCTACAGTCTTTTTGTCAAGACCGTACGCAATCGCAGCAGCAGTCGGCTCATTGATGATTCGGAGGACGTTGAGTCCAGAGATCGTGCCCGCATCTTTTGTGGCCTGGCGCTGCGAGTCGTTGAAATAGGCAGGCACAGTGACAACTGCACTTGTCACAACAGTGCCGAGGTAGGATTCTGCAGTTTCCTTCATCTTGAGCAAGACCATGGAGGAGACCTCCTCGGGAGACTGAAATCGATGGCATCAGGACATAAGTGTGCCTTAGACTGATGTTTACTTACAAATTCCTTGTCCTCGCCACGGTATGTCACACGAATATAGGGCTTTCCACCCTTGTCCAAAACGGTGAAGGGGAAGTGCTTGAGATCGGACTGCACCTCAGCGTCGCTAAATTTACGGCCGATGAGGCGCTTCGCGTCAAAGACGGTGTTATGGGGGTTCATCGCAACTTGGTTCTTCGCAGCATCGCCGATTAAACGCTCGTTGTCTGAGAAGGACACGTAGGACGGAGTGGTACGGTTACCCTGATCATTCGCGATGATTTCAACGCGATCGTTTTGCCAGACGCCGACACATCTATCAGGATGTTAAAGACATGTTTTCAATAACTGATGAGACGCAACGAGAACATACGAGTAGGTAGTACCCAAGTCAATACCGATCGCCTTGGATGCCATTGGGACAGTCGAATAAAATTTGCGGAGAGTGAATAAGGCGGAAAAGGAGAAAGTAGTGGTGAATGCAAATACAAGGCAAAGCGGGCGGAGGCATCTTATATACAACTTTCATTTCTACTCCGTTCCAGGACCTTCCTTCTCGTTCGAAGGCCGTTCCAGGAGATTCGCGCGTCACGCACCTCTGTGGCCACTCACACGTGACTCTATTGACGCGTCCTCAATCATAATGCCTGGACCATGCCACCGTGCCGGCAAAAATGGTGTCCGGGCACAGAACATGCGCCAGACATGAAGAGATCGCATTTCTTCTTGATCTTCGAAGCCTGAATATCGAAGGTCATCTACATGCAATGAAGTCCCTTTGCCATATTCTTTGCATGTAAAATCCAGTTTGCAGATCGAATATTACAGGAAAATGTGATCTCTCGCGGCCTGTTCCCGGCGGATGTTCAATCACTGAAGTACTGACCTTCGGCAATTGCCCACAATGATGATCTGCACGGTTCGAGAACAACTCAGATAACTTGGGGCACACCCACTTTCGCGCATGTTCTGGAGGACATGTGAGACCGCGCCACGAACATTATCTGTGGCCCAGGAGGTCGTAGCAGCGACACGGCAGCAGTCTCTAACCTTTCGCCCCCCGCGCAACGCCTATTCATCGTTGCGATAGTATTGAGGTCGCGGTGGAAATGCTAAGCCACGGTTGTTTCTCGTCTCACAAGACGTCATAGTGTTGACACTACCGTCATTAAGGCCCTCGAGTGAAACAGAGCATACGATATCTAAATATTTCCTTTTATGAGCATATTGTGTTAAACAATAGTTTTTTAATGTTACGTATATTTTAATCCACATATCTGGCAGCTATTTTTCGCTGCGAAGCCACGAAGCTAGACACGATCCTCGTCACCTCCTGCAATGGCCTCCTCTCCGTCGTTGACAGAGATTGACGTACCTTCGTCGTCTCCCTCACTACTGCCTCCTCCATCGGGTTCTCCACTGGCCAACCTCTACAATCGCCTCGCGTCATGGCGGCGTTCGCTTGAGCTCCCCAACCCAGGCACAGCGGAGAATCTCCAGAAAGAGGTTAAAAGTACGCCTTCATTCTCAAATTAATCTTTGACAATATTGACTCCGTTTCGCAGCCACGCTCTTGACTAACTTCTTCTTTGATGGAGCGAGAGCAGATTTATCCAAAAGCTTGTCGGTCAATCCCATCTTTCAGGTGACGCATTCGTTTGCGTTGGGCTCCCAGACCACTCCCCCGTCATATAATTTTGGTGCAGTATTCGCCAGCAACAGTGTAAGTCAAAAGCATCCTGGACTTTGCGTACTAGGCTTATGGTGTCTCAGATCTTTCTACAAGGTTCCGTTGACCATGACGGCAACGTCAATGGGCGCCTTAATCAGGGATGGTCAGCGAACAATGTAACCAAAGCGCAGGGCCAGGCCAGTTTTACCGTCGTTACTGTGGTGTCATTTGAGATGCTCACATCATCACCGTAAGCAGTTGTCGTCGCAAGCAGGACACAGTATGCTTCAAGTGGAACACGATTACATGGGTCAGGATTACTCGGTCAACATCAAGGCTGTGAATCCATCTCCAATAGACTTTACCGGTATCTACATGGGAAGTTACTTTCAATCTATCACCAAAAACCTTGCGCTAGGTGTGGAGATCCTTCACCAACGACCAACTCCGGAAATGACGGAGAGTACTGCTTCGTACTTGGCGAAGTATACCGGCTCAGACAAAAACTGGATCGCGACCGCACAAGTTCAACCAGCAGGTATTCTGCAGGCCACGTACTGGCAGAAGCTCAGTGATAAAGTTGAAGTGGCCGCGGATCTGCAGCTAATCGCAGCACCTACGCGGAGAGACGCGATTGCCTCACTGGGTGCAAAATACGACCTTCGTATGTCTACGTTCCGGGCGCAGCTAGACTCTACCGGCAAGGTTTCAGCATTGCTTGAGCAACGTTTTGCCCCGGCATTCGCATTCTTGGTGTCCGGTGAGATAGATCACTTCAAGGTATGTCTATGGCCAATTTCAGGGATGTTATTATCTCATCCACAATTAGAACGGAGCGAAAGTCGGTGTAGGTGTGATGATCGAGAGTCCGAGCATGACACCAGAGGAAATGGGTATGATGCAAATGCAGACACCATCCCAGCCATGATATCCTATAGCTAGTAGTACACGACTTAGAACAATACTTGCTACATTTTTTGAAGCATCCCAATTCTGAAGAGTGTTAGCCACATTGTGCCTGGGTGCGTGACTTCAAATTGCAGAGCGCTGATAGGATGAAACTTGCATTCATGTTTCTTGACGCCAAGTCATAAGTAAAGTCCCGTTGGAGTATCTGAACGGCCAGCTTTTATCGTTTTCCTGTGTCTGTACGAACTGCGACGTTGACACCTATGGCAGAAGCTCTCCTGGAGATTAAAGACGTGGAGTGCACCAAGCCGAAGGGCGACCGCCTCTTCACGAACGTCAACTTCACCGTCAATGAAGGTGATATAGTCGTCATACAGGGAAAGAGTGGTGCAGGGTGCGCATGCATTGCTACCAGTCCGTTCCAATGTAATTTCGATAGAACTGATATTTCAGGAAGTCAACATTGCTAAAATGCCTAGCCCACCTCAACTTGCACAGCGGGGATGTTTGCTATCGGGGCAGGTCCGTCTGCTCGTTGGTGTTCGTCGTGAAATTGCTCATGTCGCCCCAGGACGGCCAGGTCGTACGGTTAGTCGTCTTTGGTTCGGTCAGTCCAACATACTCTAAGCGATGACGACAGGTATCCCATATTTCCGAACTCGTGTGATGTATGTACCCCAACGCGCCTCATTGTTACCGGGTACGCCGCGAGACTTCATGGCTGCCATATCGTTATTTGGATCATATAATCAGAAATCCTCCACGAAACCAAAGGGATTGTCACACGAGGTCGTCGAGCTTGCCGAGTCATGGGGAATTGACGAGGAACTCTGGGATAGGAATTGGAGCAACTTGAGCGGTGGCGAGATGCAAAGGGTTGCGCTAGCGATCGCAGTTGGCCTCCGGAGTGCTGAAGTTCTGCTTCTTGATGGTGCGTACCTCCGATCCTTTCTTTTCTTCAGAAGAGAAACCACACAATGCTTTCTAGAGCCTACATCTGCTCTAGACCCTGATAGTTCTGCGCGCGTTGAGAACTATCTCAAGTCGCAGATCGAAGCAGTAGACTCAAACCTCAAAGCTCTCGTGTGGGTAACACACTCCGAAGAGCAAGGAAAGCGTGTAGGGACTAGGTTCCTCCGACTTTCTGCTGGTGGCGTTCAGGAAGAGAATGCGCATCTTGATGTGTAAATGTAGTGCCTTAGTTGTAATTATTAGTCATGAAGATAGTTGACTCAAAACCAGTTGTTAGCTGCAGTCAGGATCCCTCACCATCTGGCTGGTGGTACCCCCCATTTGGTACTTGTCATACAAGGCTCAATTCTTGCTTCACTACATACTTAGTGCAAGGTAGTTTCACTATAAGAGCCATGATTCCAAGATTGAACAACAAAAACCTGACAAGTGGTTGCTGAGATCATCTTTGATACCCACTGGGTATCAAATATGATTTGAAATCACATTTCAGCATGCTGAGGCCTTAAAGTTACATCTGTCACTGTTGATCATGCTACAGCAGTCAAAAGCTTTGATGTACATGTTGTAATCATAATTCCATGGATTGCAAGGACTTGGGACAGAGCACAAACTTGGCAAAGCTCAGCATACATGACCTTCCATGATGTTCTGCCACCACCAACCACCAATCAGATGGTAAGAAACAGTATGTATGACTGAAACAGCCATTAGTGAAAATGATATACAATCATACTATAACAAGAATATGTGGTAATGCAACTAGGAAATGCGAGGGTAATAAGTTAGACAATGCAGCTTAGAGCAATTGCAATTCAACCTGATGTGTTCAATGTCTCAACAGCATCTATTTCCCCTGTATGGAGTCGTTCCAGCCAAGTCGAAACGGCTCGCATACTATCAATGGCAGGTGTCATTTTTGACATCACCGCAGCATATACCATGTTATGTTGTTCTTGCAGCATATTACTGAGATTTTCATGAGTGGTCTGTAGGAGAGGCTTGACATCTGCTTGCAGGGATTGGAGGACCGCCGGTCGAACTTCCGTAAGAATATCTTCAATCGCTGGAAATTGCAGCATGGGCGAAGGCTTTGCTTGTGTCATGAACGATGTGACTGCCGCACTGAGAGCCTGCATTTCAAGTTTGTTTGTTTGGAATCTGTCCATGTCTGACTTATACCGCTGTTCCAACTGCGGAGGATTAATGACCTCCCGCTCAAAAAAAGGACAGGCTCAGCCGACTTACATCATCAATTCGTTTCCGCAGATGCTCGTTTTCAGTTCGGAGCTTTGCGTACTCCGAATCCGAGGCGTTCATTCGTGTGATTATGTTTGCCACTTCCACTGCTAGTTCCTCTACTTGCCCACCTAGAATATCCAGCTCCTGGCCTAAATGCTCATTGCCGTGAGCCTTGTCGGGTGGACCAATGCGCTCGTCCCTTGTACTTGCTTGTGCTCCTTCCGATATATTGTTCCCTGTCTCGAGTCGCGATTGCAGCATTTCTTCCATACTGTAAAGCAAGTCGTTATCATGCTCAGCGATCTCGTTCTGAATTTCGGACAATTGCTGTTCCAAAAGTAAGAGCCGATCACGTAGTTCGTCCGTTGCTTGTTCAGCATTCGATGTTTGCTTCTGATCTACCTGCTGCAAAATAGCGTCGTCTTCACTCACAGAGACTCTTCGGCGCTTTGCGGGACGAGTGGCATCAGAACCTCCGGCAGGAATGTCCACAGGTGTTGGCTTTATGTCGAGAGACTTTGGAATCTCTGCTCGTATCTGCTCCAAGAGTTGATGAAGATTTGCAACGCTCCCTTTCAATTCTGCGATCGTCGCATGCATATCCTTGTGACTATCAGCCAGGCTCGGAGGGCTCTTCTCGTTTGTTGGCCAAAAATCCGTATCGACTAAGCGGGCGTGGATCTTGTTGAGCTCTGCTTTCCTAGCGTCACGCTTCAAAGCAGTGTCCGACGCCAGTATGCTCAAGCGCGCTTTGTTATCCTCCGACAAGCCAGCAGAACGCCATGCTTGTGAGAGACGGTCGCGTTGCTCTGCTTCTTTTTGGAGCCGTGCAAAATCACCGTAAGCGACTACGGCTTCAGACAGGAGTCTTGTGGAATCGTCAGCATAGTCACGAAGGGAAAGAGAATATCTTACTTTATACGATCAACCCACATCGTGCGCCTTTCCTCGTACGATAACTCCTTTGAGGCTGAACTGTTCGGGCCTGGAGCATTGACTTCATGACCGTTGAGTGCTGGCATGGGTTTCGTGACAGGCGGAGGGGCCATGGATGTGGATGATGTAGCTACCAATACATGTGAAGTCCCATTGACATTAGTGCTCTCCTTTCCGCGCGAGACTGTATGAACGGAAGACGATCTGCGCCCATGAGTGTTCCGTACTTCCACTGACGTTACAGAAGCTGTCGGCGAGCGGTCGCGCATGTCATAATTAGACGTTGAATCCCGACGGTGATTCGACTCGTCCATACTTTCGCGATGGTATCTGCTATCCACGTCGCTCAGACGGCGTTCGAAAGGCAGAGGGGACTGTGGGAGTGTTGATAAGCGACTCCGAAGTGATGGCGTGTGCATCCGTGGCGGGGTGCGACTCCGGGGAGGCGGCGAAAGTGCTCTAAGAGGTGAACGGCTACGGGGACGAAGGGGGCGGGAGTCTGTCCCGTAGCCGCGGGGCGGAGCGCTATTGGGGGCATCTGCCCACGCAGGATTGTCTGGGTGAATGAAATGACAGGTGTTCGACTTATGTCTGGGGCATCCGTATTGTCCGCTACCGTGAAAGCGGGGCTCCCCGTTGTCATCGTACCACTGGGAAGGAAGCTCGGACAACTTTCACCTGGAAAGATAGAGGCCACACACCATACATCGCCTGTAAATCATCGTTATACAAGTTTACAAGTATCGGCCAGCATGCAACCGAGGCACAAAAGACCAAGGGAAGTTCTGCTTCGTCTAACGAGGCTTGTTCAGCCGCGTGGATTTGTCCGATGTCGAGTGTCTAAGTGCGATCGCGGGGACGGGCGCCAACCCACTGTCAGCCACCGTCACCTGCGTTCAGTTGAATTCGGAGTCCTCGCTCACACCAGGACTAACGAAAGTTGTCGATCTCATCCGCATCGACTTGTACGCTGAGGTCAGAACAGATTAATGCCAGAAGATGTGCAGAGCTCCTGACAGCGACACAAATCAGTTCTACAGAAAGTCCTGGGTTAAGTTGTGGTCGTAGGTATGAAAGTAGATAGATTGTAATTATGGTGTAGAGTCCACAGCGACGAATTTAATAATAATACAGTCCTTTGTTAGATGCGCAAGTGCACATCCCCGAACATTCTGTCTAGTTGTCAACAAGTACGGACAGATGTATCAAACGCTCGCTGTCGTACTGCAGTCCTGAGCCCGTAGGCAATGTCATTGGGTATGGGGCGAAATAGAGTCTAGTTGTGAAGAAACTCCCGCAGCATGGTTCATCGCGCTCGCAGGACGCGAGGCGGTATATGCATGTGAGGACAGTGCACTGGGCGGCCGTGAGGAGAAAGACGGGTACGTCGATATCGAATTTGAAGACATTGACGACGCTGGTATTGGTTGCGGCTGAAAAGCTGGCGCGTGTGAGTGGGGAGGGAACATGTAGGAGTGGTCCGCCGCGGGATACGTCAAAGGTGATGATACTGGGGTAGGCAGTTGACAAGGCGCAGCGGAGGAACGTCCAAATAGTCTTGCAGCAGCGCGCAAAGGTGGAAACGTGGAAAGTGCATCCATCAAACCTGAAGGGTCATCCTGCTTCTTCTTCAACAGATTCTTCTCCAGAAGTTGCCCAAGCATCGGCGCATCGCGTTCAACAGGCGATCCAGGGAAAGGCTTGCTGCTTTGTGAGGCCAGCGAAGAAAACGATGTGAGCGAGGACAATGATGACGTTGAAGCCCGTCGCGACAACGTCGCACCTCCCAACTCCAGCGCCGAACATGCACGACTAGGCTGGGGTAGGCGGCGGCCCCGCCC